CTCCCCCCCCCCCCCCGACTCCACTTGTAGGGTGAAGCCATCCAGGAGGGGTCATCTAAATCTGTCAAGTCATTTGAAGTAGGGACTAGGACTTCTTTCCTGTCTCTAGGTTAAGGGAGTATCCCTCCATGGGGGATGTGCCCGCAAGGTCCTCTTGTGTATCAGGAATATATCCTGGTTCCACTGCCTGAGATCCCTTAGACTGCTCAGGCCTTCTAGCTGAGACCCACGTTCAAGGGGTCTGAATCAGTCCCATGCTGGATTCCCAGCTGTCAGTCCGTTAGCTCCTCCTTGTTCAGGTCTGCTGTCTCTATGTTTCTACAGCGTGGTCTTGTCCTCCCTCTCTGCATCTGTATTCTTGTTTGCCTCTGTGTTTAGTTGTGGGTGTTTGCTATGTTTCTAACAGGTACTAACTAGATGAGGGCTCCAAGGTGCTATAATTTCTGCTGGGTCTATTCCTGCTAATTGATGAAATCTGTATTTTCCTTTCATAGTCAATTCAGAATCCTTCTCTATATAGGTCTTTAATTTTTACTCAGTTTGTGTAGTAAAAATATCCATTCTCAGATATCTTCTCTCTGCATAAGAATTCCTGTAGGAGAATGAGTAGAATGTACAATAACCAGAACATAGTCAAACTCTGGATCTAAGCAATCCACATGTGAATCCTGTCATTTTTTTTTTTTTTTCCTGTCAAAGCTAATTCTTAGCTTCAGCTGATAGCTTTCTTGAACTGTTTCAGTCCTTATCACCTTGTAAAGTTTGAAATAAATTATTTAGTTCTTGAGTTGCTAATTTAATTGTGGGCCACAGCCAGCTAATATCTCCCAGCAAATTTTGAAAATAATTAAGATTTCCTATTTGAACTCTCTTGATTCATACTTTCTGTAGTTGAATTTTCTGCAAACCTGTCTTATATCCTAAATAATTGATTTAGTCTCCTCTTTATGTTGTTTTCAGGAGTAATTTTTAATCCCCCCAAAAGGCAAAATTCTCTTTACCTCATCAAACATTTTTTTTTTTGAAAGAATTTGTCTGAATCAGCCAATATAATACCATCCATATAATGGTAAATTATAGGTTGAGGAAACTGCTTATGAATTAGTTCTAATGGCTGCTGTATAAAATATTGATTCATGGTGTGGCTGTTTAACATTCCTGGTGGAAGAATCTTCCAGTGTTACCTTTTAACAGACTGGAATTATATCAGTAGGCAATGTAAATTCAAATTTTTCTCTATCTTGTTCTTGTAAAGGTATAATAAAAAAGCATTCTTTGAAATCAATCTACTATAGTAGACCATCCCTTAGGAAATACGAAAGGCAAGGTATTTTCAGGCTGTCCAGAGCCCATTGGTTGAATCACCTTATTTACGGCTCTTAAATCTGTTAAGAGTCTTAATTTTCCAGATTTATTCTTAATAACAAATATTAGAGAATTCCAGAGACTGGTTGATTTTTTTAAATATATTGAGCATTTACCTGCTCCTTTACAAGCTGTTATAGTGCCTGTAATTTAACCATTTCTTCAGTTAACCATTTTAAAGGTAAAATTGTTGGTACCTTTGAAAGGTCAGCAGCTGTTATGCCCTGCTAATGTACAACCTGAATAGTTGGTGACTATTCTTGATAATGCCTTTTAATACTTTTCTCAAAAGTATACATTAATTTACTGTTTATTTCTGAGATTTGAGGAATGGTAGTCTGTGTTTTCCTTTGCTGCAATAAATCACATCTCCATAAATTCATTGCTATGTTAGTCACATATATCTTTAATTTTCCTGTCTGTCCTTCTGGCCCTATACAGTTGTCCCATCTTGCGGGTTGTTTTACCTGTGATAAAGTTCCAGTCCCTAGAAGCTGAACATTTACCTCCTGAAGATGTCACATTGTATGCCAAGATTTTGGTGAAATTATTGTTACTAACCTTCAACTTCAGTGCCATATATTTGTATTTTTAGCTTTGGTCATTGATCATTTATAAAACTTTGCCAAAATACTTAACTTATTGTCTCTCCTGAAATTTTTGTTTTATCTGCTGAAGCTGTTTTGTCGTCTACAGTAGTGTGGTTTTTAACAACAGGCATTAACTCTTTTAATTGCTCTATGGAGAGGTTTAACCAATGCTGATGGAATGATTGAACAAGATTTGATACTGGGGCCAGGCCCACTAAGTTGTTTTCTGATGGCAAAGGATTAATTAAGCTGCCTGTCTCATGTTGGTGTGCATTCATTAGTTCAGTGTTGGCTTTTTGCCACACCTACATATTCCAGAAGTCTGAGGGTTATGTTTGGATTATCTCTAGAAAACCATTCTTTCTTGGAACACCATGCCTACAATCCCTTTTTAGATGACTCAGCTTACCACAGTTAAAACATCTGAACTTTTGAGTTTTCTTAAAATTTTTAAGAATCACTTCTCTTGTCCAAATAGCATAGTAAGTATAAAATCCAGTATCAGTTATATTTTGGATCCACTCATGTATGGATGCTGATCTTGACTTTAAAGGCCTTAGTCACTCTTTTTTATTCTGAATTAGCATTTTCAAAAGCAAAGTATTCAATTAATATTTGTCTAACATCTGGATCTAGTATCATTCTATTTGCAGCTCTAGTCAATTTTTGTTAAAAAAAAATATAGTGAAGGCTTCTTTTGGGCATTGTATAATTTTAATAAATGACCCATACCTCTTTCCTGATTCTCCAATCCTGTCCCAAGCATCCAAAGCTGTTACATGCCACAGAACCAAGGTGTTATCAACAAATATAGACTGTCTTTGCAAATCCACATACTGGCCCTCACCTAGAGGTCTTTGGAAATTTCATGACCTCTAACCCTATTTCATTATTTTAGGACCCTAGCTTCCTCTTTCTATCATATTTTCCATTGTAAGTGACAACCAGATTCCAATACTGCTGTAAGTAAATCTTTCAGTATTATGGAATAATACTGTTAGTGGGTGTTCATGAATTTAACATCTATGTCACAAATGATGAATGCATACAATATGAAATGACTTCTTCCTTAAATCCTTTCAAACCTAGCATTTCTACAGTATTCCAGTTAACTTCTGCATCATCTTGGGAATGCCTAATATCTGGGGGGTCTTTCTTGTATGATAACTGCATAAATTAAGGTTGGCTGTTCTGATAACTGCATTGCTGCAGTAGGTTCTTCTGCTGTAAATTCCTCTGTGTCTAAGTATTTTTGTTATTTTCATTAGTAAGTCTTTCTAAAGTCTGTATCCTATAAATCAAATTTTTCTTATTTTCATTGGTTCGTCTTTCTAAGGCTTATATCTCATCAGTAAAGTTATATTTGGCACAGTTATCAAACTGAAATCCTTTCTTTAAGGATTAAATCTTAATTGTAAAACTGATAGTAATTATAGTCAGCATTATATCAATCCCGGCTAAGTTGTTTTCCCCCTCATCAAATTTTCTATTTTCAGACCATCTACACTAACACAATACTGGATCCTAGTGCCTTGCATTGTGATGTTACCAATTCTTAATGTGGCAAAGATTTTCTTTTTATTGTTAGTGTATGGTTTCGGTGGTGAACTCAAGCCCTTCCTGCAGTTTTCAAGTGCAAGACTGCTTTCTAGAGTCCTAGCAAGTGGCAGCCACTTGCTGTCAATGCTTACAGGAAAAGACCCAGGTAGCAACTGTGGAAGAACTGGCTGGCGTGGCTTCTTTGTCCCTGTGGTTGTGTCCCTTGTTGGATGCCAAATGTCTTAATTTCAGCACAGTAGCACTATGCCTTAATCTAATGTTATTTCAACCAGCAATTGCAACACATAGTTACTGGCCTGCTTTATAGCAATAGCTTTGCTATTTAAGGCAGGGTCTGATCCCATGGGTATTGGCCCTGTTGCTACCACTAAAGTAGCTTTAACTAAATCTCCATCTTTCTATTTATAAATAAGACTTGAGATTCAAAGGCTGGGGTGAAAATCTGTAAACTCAGAGAGACTGAGTCTCAACTAGCTAACCCTCTCTCATTGTTGGCATCTCTGCTAAACCAGAAAAAGCTTTATCACTCCAAAATCCTCCCTACTACATCCTGTGTTTCTCTATCTCTTCCAGATGTCCTCTGTTACTCTATGATTATTTTTTGTCAGCTAGTTACTAACTCAGCCTCCTGAGCTAAGGTTAATTTTGTTTAATCAATGGGAATCCAAACTCAGGGATCACAGTGTGATTGAATATTCCCCAACATTCCAAATCAGAGATCCCCTGTCTCTGACTGCCAAACTCGACAATCACATGTGTTCAATACCATGCTGGCCCACTTACTTATTTTTATTTTATGTATGTGAGTGTCTTGCTTATGTATATTTCTGTGAACTACATGAATGCCTGTTGTCCAGACAGATAGGTGAAGACCTTGGTTCCATTGGAACTGAAGTTATGAACAGTTATGCATTTCCATGTGGGTCCTGAGAATCTAACTTAGATCTTCTGGAAGAGCAGCCAGTGCTCTTGGCTACTGAGCCATCTCTGCAACCCCAAATTCAAACTTTCTACATCTAGATAATTAAAGATAATTAAATTCCTTAAAATTACTGACCTACCAATATTGTGTGCCAGCTGAGGTGAGCTGGAGGTGATGAACTTATTAACACCTATATAATTAAAAGTCTCTGTCCAGTTATATTAATCTAGAATTTGGAAAATATATTGTACATAGGCCTTTTCAAATACAAATTTGATATATTATGATCCTAACTATGTATTATGTATGCCTGTGATGAAGCATCTACTTCAGTGGAGATTTTATTTGGACATGTTATAGTGTAGAAAAGATGTGTTCTTAGCATGCTGCTTACTGTGTTTGAAGTGATGAGACTTTTGGCTTTATGAGTGATTAATATTTTTATTTAGTTGTCAGAATTATTCTTATATGATTTTGACTATGTGTACATTTTAACATACAAATACATTTTTCCTTGTAATAGGAAACAATGAATAAACTATTTTTACCTGTTAAAATTTTAGATTACTGTGTAGCTGGCAACTGAAAAATATACTTAATGACTACCATCAAATAGTTCAACAGGTAAGTCTATTAAAAGTTTTACACTTTAAAAGAAGGATAGATGTTACTAAATTTACTCTTTAAAGCCCTGCTTTGTACACAGTCTGGTTTATTACTTACTGTGTTTTATAAGTTTAAATGTTTTAAAGATTGTGTATTACGTAGAGTGTTTTCTGGAATCCTCAACAAATGTCAAGGCATCATGGGGTTTGATTATTTGCAGACTTGAGACTTTATGTTTTCAAATGTGGTCACCCCATCCATATGCATTTACTTGTTGATTTCTCTACTGAACTTGCAGAGTGGTAATAGGAAAAAAAAATCTGGAACTAGACTGTACATGGCAATAAGGATATGTAGTTTATGAAGAGGAAATGTGAAAAGGAAGTTGCTTAGGTCCCTGTAAACTTTCTTAAGGAGAGGAGCCAAGAATGGCTAAGGGAGAGTTTAGCAGCATTAACTTAGTTATTCTTAGTGCTTGGTGTACCCTATCTGAAAAGTAATTTGAAGATTATCGAAACATTGTAAAAGAAATTATTACTGAAGTAAATGAAAATGATTGAATGTCTCCTCCAGAAAAATGTTAGTAAAATTGCATTTGTTTTAATCTTTTCATTTGTGTGATTTTCCTGGGGTTCCTTATTACATTCTGTGTTAAAGATAAGTTATGGTGATAACAGACAAGGATGTTCACTCCCTATGAAGCATCACTGAGTTATAGAGGAGTGTGGGAGATGAACTGATTGCCTGGAAGTGTAAACTGTTCAGCTTGTGTATAAGCTCAGTATTGCTTTAATGGAATATTGAGACTATTACTCTCTTTACCCTGCTCCCTCATTCTTGTGACTAATGTATATTGTGCATGGAAGTTTAAGAACAAGTCCATTGAGTCATTTGAATAGCCTGAGACCTGTGGTCATAGCACCTAAGCAAACAGTGGAACAAATATCTCACTGCTTATTCTGAAAGAAGAGTCCCAAAGTTATCATCACTTAATTTCCCCCTGCCTTCCAGCTGGTTAGAGATGCCTCAGATTCATTTTTCTTTCTTTCTTTCTTTCTTTCTTTCTTTCTTTCTTTCTTTCTTCCTTTTTTTTCCTTTCCAAGGTTCAGTACTAATTATCTCTTCTACTACTTTGGGTAAATGTGACCCAAGCAGTCAACAGATTTTTTATAAAGCTTGTTCAGGTTTTATGAACAACCAAGCCTGTCACTTGTGGTTCTCTGTTCTGACAACAGTGCTGAAAGAGGCTAAATGAAGGACTCATGGGTGTGGCTGCCTTTCAGTAACTTCCCATTAAAGTTTTACCCTATGGGCGTGCATTCTACCAGAGCCATGTTATAGGAATGATTTGCCTTCATATACTGTTCAAGTATCTTACTTTTCTCTTCTGAAAACGTAAAACAAGTTTACATTTAGCATTGTTTAGAAAATTGTAGGGCTAATGCAATGTATCACAGTGTAAAACAGAAACACAATGCGAGCAGTATTTTTTGTTTGCTTGCTTGTTTCCAAACAAAGAAATGATGTAGTGTTCTAAGAAAACATTCTAAGAGGTGGCTGTTTATCCTATAGTTATTTTAAACATAAACAATTTTGTAGAAATAGAACCCCAGATCTTTGAAATAATTCATTCTGTTTTATAGGGGATAGCCATTTTTGCCATTTTATTATAATACTTTTCATTTTAGTGAATGTTCTCATTTTAAATTAGGATGCCTTAGCTATGAAAGGATGAAAATGGCTATCTATGCCAAGTCAAGAAATAAAGTATATACCATTATTAATATATCTAATTAATGTCTTAATAATTAGGATTTCTGTTTCTGTAAAGAGACACCATGGCCATGGAAAACCTTATACAGGAAAACATTTAAGTGGGTTGAAGCTTACTGTTCAGAGATTCAGTCTGTTTTCATCATGGTGGGGCATGGTGTGCTGGCAGACATGGTGCTGGAGAGTCAGCTGATAGTCCTACATCTTGCAGGCAACAAGAAGTAGTCTTAGACAATGGGCAGTATCTTGAGCATATATGAGAACTTAAAGCCTGCCCCCACAGTGGCATACTTCCTCTAGCATGACTACACCCAATTCAAGAAGGCCACACCTCTTAAAATGCCACTGCTTTAGGGGGCCATTTTCTTTCAAACCACCACATTAGATTGTAGAAGTTAGAAGTTTATATTTTATGTTCCTCTTTCCATTCATATATCTTTACTTTGCCCTTCTCCTTCTGTTAAAATAATACTTTCCTATACTTGTTAGATCTTTCAGGGATGAATACTGAGTGAATGGAGGCAAGTTTGCACTTTTCAGTGAATTCCATCTACAGGCCACTACATTTCACCCAAATAGACTTGGGGGCAGTCCTCGTTAGTTTTAATCAACTTGACAGACACAAACTTGAGATATTGTGAAGAGGAAGCTCAGTTGAGAACTTGCTTTCATCAGATGGTCTGTCAGCAGGTTAATAGGACATTTCCTTGTAGTCTTTGCTTATGTAAGGCCCAGGCTACTGTGATGATAGCACGTTTGGCAGGTAATCCTGCATGATATAAGAAAGCAAGCTGAACAAGAAGCAATGTTCTACTATGGTCTCTGCTTTCAGTCCTTGCCTGGAGTCCTTGCTGTCAAGATGGACTATAGCTATAAGCTGAAATCAGCCCTTTCCTCTTCAAGTTGCTTTTGGTCATAGTGTTTATCACAATAACAGAAATCAAACTAAGACAGAAGTTGTATACTCTATCAAATGAAATTGGCAGGAATAGAAGTGATGACTAATTAATACCATTAAGATTTAGATGTAGCTAAAACACTGTCCACATTCATTTCATTTGCAATGAGTAGAACATGCACTTCATGAGTTATTAATTGAGAATGTTTTGATTTAGAGAATGAAGCACTCTCCTGATCTAGTGAGCTTTATGATGGAGTTGAAGATGATTTTGGTAAGTTTTTTTTTTTCTAACACTGTTTTTGTACTGGGTCTTGTTTTTTCTGAAAAATTTTAGTGATATGTGTCTGTATTGATGTTTGTAGGTGTACACATGTGTGAAGGCATATGAGCCTGTCTTCATGTATGTGGACATACTCAACTGTCAGTTTCTCAGTTATGTTCCTGCTTATCTTTGAGGTGGTTTCTGTTACTGATCTGACACTTGCTGATTCGGCTAACTTGGCAGACTTGACCCAGAGGTCTTCCAGTCCCTCCCTCTCCAGACCTGGGATTATGGCCATATTCTTTTATGTCTGGCCTTTTGCTGATTGGAATTAAAGTCAGATCCTTTCGCTTGCAAGAGGTGGTCATACTTAATGACATAGCATAATATGTAATTAATTTTTTATACAAATACAGATTCCTGAAGAACTTTTCCAATATGAGCAAATGAGGTGATAATAGTGAATAACCTGAGTTGATGACCTTAATCAACATTATGTCAATCATATTTCTTGTCCAACATTTTTGGAAGAGATTATAGTATTTCAACAGGAAATCCTAGAGATTGTACCAATTCCTTTATACCTATATCTCTGTATATATCTTCAGGTAAGTGCTTTCTGCATGTTTCCAAATATTTAATTAGGGCTGGCTCATTAGGTACAGGCATGTTGGCCTGGCAACCCGAGTTCAAGCCCAGAACTCTCATAAAGATGTAAAGAGAGGATCAACCCCACAAAGTTGTCCTTGGATGTTCACATGTGTTCTGCGGGCACACATGCTCCTCAGCACATTTCATGAACACACAAGTACACTGTAATGGGAATAATGAGGGCAGTGGTATGGATTTTGAATGTATAATTATAGTCATTCCTTACAGATGCATTGATCTATCAGATGGAAGGTCCCACTCTTGAACTTGTTGCTGATGTGGGGTTTAATGTATACTCTCTTTTGGCCTTTGCTCTTCTTCATTCTTGTCCTTGTTGGACAAAACAAATCATGTGCTTATAAAATTTCTCACATTACAAACTGAGTTTGTTAGACATCAGTGGAACTTTCCAGCCTACTTTCCAATGAGTTGAGCATCTATTACCTCCAAACCAAAATGAACACTGCCATGATAATACAAATGGTGGACATCAAAGATTGAGAATTTGTGTCATGAAGAAAATTGCTAATGATGTAGTTTAAAATGTCATTCAAGCATTGCATATAAAGAGTAAAATATGAATACTATGCTTTGGTTTTGGTCCCATCTCAGTATCTTACTATGCATTTGTAACTAGTCCAAAATCTGAAAAAAATTAAAATCCTAAACATTTACCAAACAATTTGGGTAAAGGATAATCAATACATTTTCTTTGTAATCTGCCCATCAGATCTCAGTACATTCATTTTGAGATGAGTACCTAGAGCTTTGTACTTCTTACTGTAATGCACCAGACATTGAATTATGTCTTCTATCCTTCATTTAGCAAAGGTCAATCAGTAGGTTTCGATTCATCTGGTAGAGTTTCCTGTCAGTGTAGGAATTCCATCATCCACTGCTGATAGTTCTGTATCCACCATTTCACTGGGATTTTTAAAGGGTGTAGTCTTTAAGTTACATTTTACATTTTGTGGTAGAGGGCATAAACCCCACAGCTTGTACAATACTCTATCAAAGGCCAGTGTCCCAAATGGTGAGTAAAAAAAAATCTATAGTTTAAATTTATTAACTACAAATATTTGAATAAAGAACCCTCACCATTATTTGGTTAACATGAGCCATAGCTAATACTAGAACAACAAGGTAAGAGTTTGCTTCTTTTCTTAAAAAAAAAAATAATAATTTTTACTGTAATAAGTTAATGCCTAACAACTATCACAGGGAACTAATACATTTTTAAGAATCACTATTAACTCATAAGTTTTATATGTTTGATTAACTTTAATCCATTATAACCATTTTTCTTCTGATGTGTGAAATTGTCCTATTTTTGATCAGTTCAAGCTGCCTCATGCTGGTTCCTGTGGTCTTTTAATATACCTTAATCTTCCTTGCTTTGTGATGCCCTAGACATACTAATTCATCCTAGTCTAGAAATGTAATTCACCACTCTAATAAATCTGTAGAATTTAGTTATAGTAACACTACCATTATTATCATGGGAAACGATGTCTGATACCTTGGTCTAGACAGTGGGGTGCTCATTGCTATTAATGCTTCTAACTCTTTTTGGTAGACATAGCTGTAGGATGAGTACTCATGAGTTCATGATATTTCCAGTTAGCATTATTGGCTTTTTCTTTGCCTTTATGCTTCTGTCTCTTTATTCTGAAATGCTGCTTTCTAATTACATTTATTTATCTATCATTTTGGTTATTGTGTTGGCTTATTTTTGTCTCTGTGATAGACACCTGAGAACACTTAGGCAAGAAAGTTTTTTTTGTTTGTTTGTTTGTTTGTTTTCTTTTTCATTTACATTCAGAGGGTTCAGCCCATGGTCAGTTGTCTCCACAGCCTCTGGGTGACTGCATAGTGGAGACAGAAGATTATGTTTGGGAGGAGGAAAGTGACAGAGAGAGTGACATAAGGAGACAAGCACAAGATAAATTCTTCAAGGTCCTGCTACTTTGTGGCTTACTTTATGTAACAATGCCTTGCTTCCCAATGGTCACGGGAGCTCTGAACTCACCAGTGAACTGACCCATGCAAAATCTTCATAGTGCCTTCCATGGGGGACCAATCCTAAGCACATGAGCTTTTTTGAGAGATATTCAACTTCAAACCATAACAATTATGCTTAACTTGCTAAGCTTCTCTTATTTTTCTTTATGTCAAAGTCATAATGCCAATATTGTTGCTGATAACTAAAAGCTTTTTGGTATTTCTTATTTTATACGTGAGGTGTTTTTTTTTTTTTTATAGTATCAGGTAGTATATATTGGAAACTTAGTTGCTAGATCTTTCTTCTGAGTCCATTTTTTGTCCTCATGGCAACTCTTTCAGGTATATCATTTATCAAATGCTTAGAATCATAATTGTTGAGGATCAACTTTAAATTTTCATTTATGAATTTTTAAACCCTTATAAAGATTATCAAACTTACCACGGTATAGGAATTTTAAAATTGTAAGGTAAAGAAACATTTGTTTCCTATCATCTTGATATTTGAGAAAAATTTGGAAATTTTATCCTGTTTATTACAATTTTAATATGCAAATATAAGAACATGGAACCAGACAAGGATGTATCCCATTAAACTCTTATGGATTATAAGTTATGGCTCTATTGGTCATTTAATTTTCAAGAAACTTATTTTAATTTCAGCAAAAGTAAGACCCTCTCATTGATCTTTGACTTACAGTACTTTGTTTTGTACATTCATGCAGTGTTTCTGAATACAAGAGAGGCCCTGTAGTCTACCTTTCATCATAAATTATAGTCAAAGTTGGTGATTTTTTAGGCCATGTTCTAACTGAGATTGTGCCAAATCCACAGTGGTGGCCTGGAGAATGGTGCTCAAATGAAGTCAGTACTATGGAACATATTCATGAAAGTTTGTAAATTTCTCATGGCACTTCTTAGTAATATCTAGACATGTGTATTTTTAATTATTGAAAATGGTGAATGTTTGAAAAGAACTCTCCAAAGTGGATTATTTTATATCCACCTGTTTTAAAACCAAATTAGGAGCTGGAGAGATGGCTCAGAGGTTAAGAGCACTGATTGCTCTTCTAGAGGACCAGGGTTCAATTCCCAGTACCCACATGGCAGGTCACTGCTGTCTGTAACTCTAGTTCCAGGGGATCTGACACCCATGCCAAAACAAAACAACAACAAAACCCAGCAATGCACATAAATTAAAACGATAAGTCTAAATAATTAGTTTAAAGTAGGAAAGGTTAAAGTCTGGATTTAAGCCTCTGTAGGACCTGTTTAGAGTGTGTTTCTCTTATGGTAGCTATTTTTCAGTTTCCTTAGATTATTCCCTAGAAACTTTCTGCTGTGCCTGGTATTATCCACACAACAAAACATACCACCACCTGATTTTCTATAAAAACTGTGCACACTTTCATTATGAAATTTTGTTTTGTAACTAGTTAATATTTCTCTGTTTAGGATTCCATAGCTGATTAAAATCTTTTTCTTCCAACAGGAAGCTGCTTTAAAGCACAGACAAGAATGGTGTGTACAACCACCTTCTCGCAGTTTCTGCACCGACCTTCTTAATGAAATAGGAGCTGTTGGTTGGGATAAGTATGTCTGTTTAAAACTAGAAATGCCTTTGGTTTACATAATGCAGCTTCCTGTGTTTCTAGTTGTCACAGCTTAGTTTTCTGCCTACTTCTGCTTTTACTTGGCATTTTGGTGTAGAGTGTGTAATCCTAATCCTGATTGTTGCTGTCAGACAGGAATATTGTGAAATATTAACTTGAAAAGCTTCATGTGATTTGAAAGAATGGCATTTGGTTCAAATAGTAAGATTTATCTTATTAGGTATTTTTATTAGGTGTGCCTAACAATATTCTAAATGTACTACATGTTTCATGTTTAAAATGCTAGGTTTTGGCTTGATACTCAGTGAATAGAATTTTTACTCTATAAGCATGAAATCTATGAAAGTGCTGAGTGGCTAAGTTAAGATTACATTGAACAAGTTGGCCAGCTAGACTAACCTAATCAGTGACCTTTTACTACAAAGGAGCACCTCTCTCTTAATAAGTAAGATAGAGATGTATTGAAGAAGAAATAAAGCATCAACATCTGGCTTCCACAGCATGTACACACATATGTACATATGATTGATATATATATATATATATATATATATATATATATATATATATGCATTCCAAATGTAATACTAATAAATATGAATCAAAATGGAAAATAGCAGGTTTATTTTGGTATGTATACATAGCTATATTTGGCTGTTATTCAGTTTTGTTTTCTTAAGTTTCAATATCCACATGTATTTATACTTTCAGCAGTAAATCTTGCTTTCTCTAAAGAAAATAATGAATTAGGAAACTTAAAAGCAGGATGGATTTCCTGTCATACCTTTATTCCCAGCATTTGAAAGGCAGAAGCAGACGTATCTCTGTAAGTTCCAGGACAGCCAGGGCTATTGTAGAGAGACCCTGTTTAAAACATGGGGGGGGGGCGGAGGAGGGGAGAAATTTAAAAGAAATTCCGTAGATGGAAATGTAAATTGTTAAGACTTCATCCATGCATCACTTAGAAAAAATGTCTGGGAATTTCCCCGGTTTTCAGTTGCTGAATTCAATTCTTAGTGTGGCCATTCTAAGCACATTACATTTTGTTAATAAGTATATTACCAGCTTTCTGCTGGAGCTGAAACATCAGTGTGGACAGGCAGTTTAGTTCTGTTTATACCTGCAACCATTTTACTTCGGTGTTTATTTATTATTTCAGTTCAAGTTTCTTTATTACTAAGATCAATCAAAGGCTGACTTCAGTTACCACTTAGAGAGTGGAATTTTTCACCAGCAAGTTTTTCTGAATGTACTTAAGATGTTTTATTATTCTTATGTGTGTTGCTTCTTAGCTGTTTTCTAAGTTGGCCTTTTGACCACTATTTTAAAGAAGCCAAACATCAAATATCATTTTAAGAAAAAAAAAAAAAAAAACAGAGCCCATCATAGGTAGAAAGCATAATTCACTTTCTCCTCCAGCAGAGCTAGATGTCAGAGGGAAAGAAAGCCAAAGGGAAGAAGTGACCTTGGCTCCCACCATTGTGAAGAAACAGGAGGCCATAAAGGTAGTGAATCCCCTATTTGAGACTAGGCCTAAGAACTTCAGCACTGGTCAGGACATCCAGCCCAAAAGAGGACTCACACACCCTTCTACATCAGGCTTCAGTAGTGAAGGGAAGTCCTCTATAAGCAGCTTAGCATAGCTCCTGCCATTAACCAGTTTCCCCCAGCTCATGACCAACAAACAGCTACCCAACTGCTTAAGCTTGCCAATAGCTACAGGCCAGAGACAAAGCAGGAGAAAGAGCAAAGGCTGCTGACCCATGATGACAAAATGAGAAGAAAGCTGCTAGCAAAGGGAATGTTCTAACCTGGAGACTACATGTTCTTTAAGCAGTGATCAGTAGGTGGTGACTACCTACAACACAGACCCTGTTAATGTGGTGGTCTTCCTGCCTGCCTTTGTGTCTCAAGATGGAGTTCCCCTACTGTATCACCAAGGGAAAGGCCAGGCCAACGTGGCTGATCCACAGGAAGACATGTACCACTGTTGCCTTCACACAGGTTGACTCAGAAGACAAGGGTGCTCTGGCTAAGCTGGTGGAAGCTATTAGGACCAATTACAATGACAGCTAAAATGAGATCTGCCACCACCGGGGAGGCAATGCCCTGGATCCTAAAATAGTGGCTCTCATTTCCAAGCTGGAAAAGGCAAAGGCCAAAGGACTTGTTACTGAGCTGGGTCATATGTACACTGCTAAGTTTTCTGTGAATAGACATATTTACAAAATTTAAGAAGGAAACATATTTCTTTAATAAATTTACATTATAACCACACACTAAGTCTGTACTAAGTTATCTTCATGTTAGAATAAAGAGCCTGGTCCTTTGTCCATGTGTCTAGCTTCTAGTTCTAGTCCTTAAAAATCTTTACTTAGAACAGTTTTCCCTCTTAGCCATAGATCATTACATTACTTTCTGCATTGGGTTTGAGTGGAGCATAATTTTCTTTTGTGTACTTCTGTGTAGAGATGGTCATTATTTCAGAAATGTGAATCTTATCTTAATTTTGTGTAACTACTTCTTAACTTCATTGTCTTCTTGGCTAATAGTGACTGCAAATAGATCTGTACTTATGAGGCTTGAAACTTGTACATTGGTTTCTTGCCAAAAACTACAACTTCAACATCTAGTTATTAAAACTTTACTAAAATCATTATCACAAGTAATAGTGTTTCAGAATAGCTGGACTGCTGAAGTGTGTATAATAGAATTATTTTGCCTTTGCTCCCACAGGCTGCAGCACCTAATAATCTTTTGTTGCATGTTGGAAAGTGTGACTAAACAGGTTTGAGACTCAGGATAGCATTTTCCATCCTCACAAGATTTCTTCTGCTAGACACATAAAATGGGAAGAGATTGCTATAGGGCGTGGTTGAGGTCAGAGTGAGTTGTTCCATGAGTTGGCTGGCCTGATTGCTTCCCTTTTGTCTTCTCTTTGAAACAAGAGCCAAGCATATTTGATGGCATTTTTTTTCCCATTGGGGAATCTTAATCTCTCAATTCTTTCTGTCTACATGACCAACTTTCATCTCTATGAAAATCCTTTTTTTTTTTTTTTTTTTTTGCTAAGAATCCATCATTTCTTGCTTGTATTCTTTTTTAAAAGTCACATTTCATGGGTTCTCATTCAGATTTTGAGGGGTATTTATTTAGATTTATCTCATCCCAGCTCTAAATTTAATTAATCTCCTCTTACTATAATGGGCTTTCTGGAAAGATAATCTTTGTCTTTTTGTAGCTTTCTCATGAAATATATATATATATATATATATATATATATATATATATATATAGTTTGCATGAGGGTTTATTAGAGGAAAAGCTAAACCAATTTCTCTGAGCTTGGCTTTTTTGATATCCTGACTCTCCAAGTCCACTATATTTATCTCTATTCCTCTGTAGATTATACTGTCAAAAGTGCTTCTAAAGATTTTATCTTTGTTTCTGTGTTTTATTGTTTCTTTGTCACTTAATCTTTAGCTCTTTACTGGGCCCTTTGCCCAGATTTTTTTCTCTTGTGGCATACAGTCTTTAAATCCTGGTTGCCTTAGAAATTCTTTGATGCCTCCCACTCCCTGCCTCTCCCCCCCCCCTTCATCAGATTACTTAACTGAGTTGTTTAGAGAAGATTTGGTCCATAGTATGTTACTCCATTTTAGCCAGAAATGGATTTTACATCTAGCTCTAAATGTTCTGATGATATTAATTACTACTTAAAGTTTGTTCATTAAATCAGGCTTTGTGTTTTAAGTTTCTGTTCCTCATTAGGATTTGAAATATATGTATCTTTAAATAAAATTAATCATAACAATAGGGCACAGAAGAGAATAAAAAATATTGAGATGCTATAGTAGCAATTCCAACTGAGGTCATGAAAGTGGTTTGGTCTTTTTGTGCCCTGGAGTCAATCACTCTTTAGATATAAGTGGTCAGGAAAGAGAGAAATCCTTTAAGTTCACTTTCAGATGCTTCCATGTTATTCTGAGTATTGGGGATGTAGGCTGCCATAGACAGAGACAATGGTCTTTTTTTTTTTTTTATTCCTGTTCTCTTGACAAAATGTGTTTAAGGCAGGTTTCCAAATGGATCTGACATGATTGAGAGAAATCCTATTGAAATTGATTGAAACATAGAATTTTGAATCACTGCATTTTTTTTCATTCAGCTATTATTTAATATGATTTAAAACAATGAAGATATATAAGTGATTTAAAATAACCACATGGAACTTTACATATTGTGGAAGTGTCAGACTTCAACTAGATGATTACAGTAGGACTTAGTTACCATGATAAGTACTGTAGAAGTACAATTGTAGCATTTTGTGAGAATCATTAGCAATAAAGTCATAAGAGATAAAGTACAAAATGTGGTCTTTTATGGAATAAGTGTTCCAAGGGATACATTGGAAATGTTGACTTTCCCTTTGACTTGTACACATTGTTCTGATATGGTGAAAAGGGACTAGATTTCTAACTTGCATAAAGATGGAAGGATGTGAATTCCTCTGGCATATACCATTTGCAAGCAATAATTATGTATCTTTAGACTAAAGTTGCTACATAGAAGACTGTATGTGCTGTTTATATTATTCTCAGGATAAAATCCAAGATAAACACTTTCTTCCAATGTATAAATTCAATTTAGTCATGTTGAGGATATTGCTGCTTGGAACTATGTCACAAGATACCATTGATATGGAACCGTTAATGAAGTTACCGCTAGGTTGAGTGATAGGTACACTCCGAGGGTGAAGCTAGTCAAATCTACCTTACCATGTGTAAAATGTCTGTTTCCAAAACTCCTGCATCCTGGGAGATAGTTTTACAATTCTGTTGCCTAGACTATGAATGGACATGATTTAGCTGTAGGAATCAGGATGAGTGAGTGACTCAGAGTACAGCTCTTGCTGCTTGTGAAGAATTTCTTAGCAGAGGAAACACTGTGTGGATGGATTGCAAGAAATGTGGATTGAGA